TGAATGGATAAACAAAATACAATGTATCATACAATGGAATTTTTTTTAATGTTTATTATTGTTTATTTTTGAGAGAGAGAGAGAGAGAGAGAGAGAGAAAGCGCACACTAGAGAGGGGGAGCAGCAGAATCTGAAGCAGGCTCCAGGCTCCAAGCTGTCAGCACAGAGCCCGATGTGGGCCTCGAACTCACGAACAGCGAGATCATAACCTGAGATGAAGTCAGACCTTTAACTGAGCCACCCACGTGCCCCATTTAAGATTTTATTTTTAAGTAATTTGTACACCCAAAACAGGGCTCAAACTCACAACCCCGAGATCAAGAGTTCCATGCTCCACTGACCAAGCCAGTCAGGCACCCCTACTTGCCTATTCTTGTGCCAGTAGCATACCATCTTGATTAGTGTTGTTTTACAGTAGGCTTAAAACCAGGAAGTATGAGGGGCATCTGGGTGGCTCAGTTGGTTAAATCCAACTCTTGATTTCGGTTCAAGTCAGGATCCCAGGGTCATGGGACCAGGCCCTGTGTTGGGCTCCACACTCAGCATGAAGCCTGCTTAAGATTCTCTATCTCTTCCCTCTGCCCCTCTCCCCTGCTGGGGCGCATATGAGCATGTTCTTGCTCAAAAAAAAACAAACACCTAGAAAGTGTGAGTCCTGCTACTTTGTTCTTTTTCCAGTATTGTTTTGGCTATTCTGAGTCCCTTGCAATTCCATATGAATTTTTAAATCAGCTTGTCAATTTCTATAAACAAATCAACTGGTACTCTGGTGAGGATTATGTTGACTCTATAGATCAACATGGGGTGTGCTGCCATCTTAACAATGCCTCTCTCTGCCCCTCCCCACTCGCGTTCTCTCTCTAAAATAAACATTAAAAAAATTAAAAACATATATATAATAAATAAAAGTATAACCACACATGGGCTATATAATTTAAAGCCTTCAGCATCTACATCAGCAAAATAGGTTTATTAAATTACCAAATTGGTTAGTCAAACATTTTCTATTCAAGTTCGAAATATGCAGAATGATACAAGACAGGCTATTACTAAACACTAAGATCATAAATCAACAAAGTTTCTGTGGCCATTTCCAAAGAGAAAATTTAAAAATCAGTCAGAAATTTCTACCCGATGCTTTTATCATTCACCAAAAGGCATTAGGCATTTCTGTAGTTATTTCTTAAAAAGGGGGGGTGGGGGGGGGAGTGGTAGGTGGGGAGGAGAGAAGGTAATTAAATCCCTCCCTCAGTTTTGAGAGGAAGAAGTCAGCAAAAGGAAAAAATGGCCATACTACCAGTACATACTAATTTGAAGTCCAAAGATTTAAAGCACTCTATTTAATCACTCACTGATGATCATTTACATATTGCCTAGGCAATCATCTTAGTTCCACACTGGTTTGTTATGATCACTAGTGACCTTAATCCTAGTGGGAAATGAGTATATGCTTCATCCAATTTCTAAAATCAATTCTAAATCCTCTTTTGGAATAACACTAGACTGGTTGAGAAGCTAAATCAAAAAAAAAAAAAAAGGGGGGGACTTTCTTTTTTAGAAATTAACATTCCTCTGGTCTATTTTTTTTTAGTAAAACAGTTTAGCTGGCAGGCCAATGCCCATTTTATACCCATGAAAGGATCTAGAATTAGTTTACCAACTCTAGGATTTCACCTGCAGAGCTGAAAAGGCAATTGTTCTAGTTCCCCAAAGAGTCAAACCTAAAACTCTTGGCTTTTTCACTGCAATTGTCTATGTGAGAGGTCAGCTAGTATTTCTGTCCTTGATCAAGCAATCACATCCACACTACTGAGCATACCAAGCATAGGAAACCATTCTATACCAGTCACTAGCCATTTGTTCCACTACTTTAAAACCTAGTGCTGGGGGCACCTGGGTGGCTCAGTCAGTTAAGCATCCGACTTAGGCTCAGGTTATGATCTCGCAGTTCATAAGTTCAGGCCCTGCATCGGATCGGGTTCTGGGCTGACAGCTCAGAGCCTGGAGCCTTCTTCAGGATTCTGTGTCTCCCTCTCTCTCTGTGCACCTCCTCCACTTACACTCTGTCTCTCCCAAAAACAAATAAATATTTAAAAAAATTAAAAAAAAAAAAAAA